TTGATATTCACATAATAAAAAATATTCCAATTAAATTATAATTATAAAAAAAATTAGATAAAAATATGCATGATAAAACCATTTTTCCATAATGATAAAATCAATAACTATTACATAAGTATATATAGTGAAATTAAAGAAAATCTTACAAACTTATTCATAGAATAGAATTTCAGAATTCATAAGAATATATTTTAATCTAAATGTAATTTATTACAAGAATTATCTCGTAGAAAAATAAATGGAAATGTTACTTTTTATTATACAAGTATTGTACAAAAGGGATCAATTTAAACTACGCAAAAAAAGAAATCTATATAAAAATCTATATAGTTTATTTATTAAACATCCTTATAAAATGCGTTTTTTTGTACCTCAATAAAGCCATATTTCGAGAAATTGTAGTAATAACTCGTTGCATTCCGGATAGAAGAATTATAATATAGCAAATAATACTATTCCGTTGGAAACCATACACTATTATAAGAAAGAGAACATTACAATGTATTAATCCAGTAGGATGTCCGCGAGATGGCTGTTCTGATGCATATTTGGCGGCAATATTAATTCAATTTTTTATATATAAAATTTTTATTATATTTATCATAACATAAATATAAAAATTAAAACAATTACTGTTGGTAATGAAAAAAATATTTTGTAATAAAAAAATATAATGTTTTTAATAATACAAATGATTATCAATAAATGTAAAGAATTTAAACAAAAAATAGGATCAAAGCAGAAGTTTTTAATTTAATATTAGAGAAAAAAATATTTTTTAATATAATTCGTATTCATTAAATTCATTTTTTATTATTTTTTTTTCTAATAAAACATCAATCCTTAAAATTCAAAAATTAATATTGAGATAAAATTTTATATATACTTTTCTCAAAAAAATAAAAAAATTTCATTCTAAAAAATTATTTTAGGTAATATATAATCAATATTATTTTTTATCTATGTAAATATCGTGAATAATATTAAATAAGTAAAAATTTAGATAAAATTTTGTTCCATTTCTTTGAAACGTTTTTCTATTAGAAATAATTAATAATTATTTTTAATATTATTATTTATTCTATAGAATATATATTCTATAGAACAGTTATGAAATTACCTGTAATATTCAGCAGCTTGATTCTCCACAAGCTGCCTCTTGATCTCCGAAGTTTTCAACTCGTTGATCGCAGTCTGTTTCTGCAACTCTACCTTTTCTAAAGCAATATTTAACATTCTTAACTTCAACTCATGTTCTCTCTGAGCCATGTCGAACATCCACATTCGTCCTTGAATAGATTCATCTTGTTCATTATTAAACCTACTATTCCTTTCCTTCATGTAAGACGTAGATACACCATCTTCTATTAAAAAAAAACAGATAAAAATTAAACGAAATTGTTTCATTTTCTTTAAAATCATAAAATATTTAACATATGTTTTATTTATTTTATTTCTTTTCACTATATGAAATAATATTTAAAAAAAAAAAGCTATGAACTCTCTATTACGATTTTCTTTTTTCAAATTTTAAAACAATGTTCGTGTTTGTCTAAAGTAACTAATGGAAAACAGGATAGAAGGTGACTTTATATATAAAAATAAATCGAAAAGAATAATATTTTGAAGTTTCGTTTTCAAGAAAATCGAGAATTAGAAACTTATCAAATATTTATCAATTTTTTTTTTAATTCTAACAGTATATAAATCAATTATCATTAAATTATATATCATCAAATTAATCTATATGTAAAAATAAATGAAGAATGTAAAATAAAATTTTATTTCTTTAAAATTAATTTTTGAAAAAATTTATTTTATATTCTCTACTCTACATTTTCACATATAAATAATCTTCTAGCAATAATACAGTAATATAATAATATCAATATAAATAACATCTAACTTTTTCAGAAATCTCAAACAAAAAAAATTTTATTGTTTTTTTTTTTTCTTATTTATATTTACATATAGAGTCACTTCCATTTATCAAACGCTCTATAATATATGTATATATATATATATTTCGAGAAAAATTATAGATACCATCGTAAATCATAGTATCCATAGAATTGAATCCTTGTTCAGGCAAATCTATCGGCTCCTCCTCCGAAATCCGTAATCGTTTTTTCTGCTGGACACCTGGTTTTTCCTTAAGAACTTCACTCTGACTGCTGTCTTCCTCTGTATTGTATTCGTCGCTATCCGCGTCAACTTTAATTCGTTCGTAGTCACTTCCGGCGTGGTGGCCGTCAGCTTGTTCAAAATTGCCTGCAAACTCGTCAAATTTTCTGGACTTCTCCGACCGTTTTCGTCCGAACGATCCTTGTCTCCGTCGTTTTTTCTCGTTTTTTCCATTAATTTCCATACTTCGATGGAAAGATCTGATGGGCGACATTTGGCCGCCTCTTCCGGCCCCAGGGTTTTCATCTAATTTGTAATCGGTACTCGTGTTATTTTTGTGTAAAATGTAAAATGATAAAACTTGTGATGTTTGCGATGTTTGTGATGCGTTTCACATAGGAAAAGGAGGAGAATGTTTATATTTTTTTCTCAAACGTTTGAGCGTTATAGGTTAATGCGTTTTTTAATAGGAAATAAACAATTTGGTGTTTTCTCCTCGTATATTTTAATTTTTAATTAACTTGGATGTATGTATGTTAAAATGATTATTTTATATTTATGTATATATTCGTATGAAAATAATAAAGTTTTTACTTTGTTTTTTGTATTTTTTGAAGATCATATATATATATATATATATATGATAAAATTTTAACACAGAAGATATAAAATATGGTTCTTTATAAAATAATTTGATTTTGGCATGATGAACAATTAAAAAACATTGTTCTTATTGATTAAATATATTAATATCTCTTTTGTATAAAAACGTAGGATAATTTGAAATAAATTTTATTGAAGGAAAAGTTCGTTATCGATTCTTATAATCTGGAAATTTGTAAAACAATATTTTTATTTTGTTATTCCAATAAATAATAATTGCTTTTAATAATTGGATATTCACGTAGGTATTAAAAATTACATGAATTAAAATATATGTTAATAAATGTGTATTTATAAATGTGCAAAATAATAGCGTCGTATGATTAAATTAAAATACGTAATCATTAATACACAAATACATATTTATAATACATATTAAAAATAATTATTTCAAATATATATGTTTATGCATTTATATTTAAATAAACGTGAAATAATTGCTAAAAGTCACATGTTTGTTTGTTGTAATAAAAACATAACAGAAAAATCAAAATTTTAAATAAAAAGAGTTTGAATATTTAAAGCTTCTTTAATCTTATAAAAAGATCCTATTAATATTATATTTAAATTTAAAATCCGATTTATTTCATCAAGATTAAATAAAGATATAAAAAAATTTTTTAATTTTTCTGTACAAATTATTTTTTCATATAAATTATTCTAGAATAATAAAAAATTAAAATAAATTGATACTATTATTATTGCATTTATTATTAAAAAAAAAAAATCCATCTTAGAAAAGATCAAAAACATTTAAAACTATAATCTCCACTT